ATGCTATATACACAGAAAAAGGGGGTCCACCCCCCGCAGGGATAGGGAAAGGGAAAAAGGGGACAAAAGGGAATAAAAGGGACACCGAACAGGTATACTAGATCAAACTATACTAATAACTAACAAAACAGATCTCACCACGTCCCTTAGAACAGCAGGATTGGCAGTCACAGCCAGCACTCTCCAAACCCCCACGTGGTAGGACAGCGGACTCTGCAGGCCTCAGCCTTAGATAAGCGAGACCAACGCAGGGACCCACTGTTCCCAAACCTCGCCGGAAGAGAAGAGAGCGAGGTCTCTAATCTCCGATTTATTTATACTCTGGTTTACGTAAAAATTGTGTGGAATACTGGGTACTTGGCTCCTTCCTTGGTTACAAACTGGTCACCAAGGAAGGCCTAGACTAAAACCATCACACAGGTGTCCATGTGATATGAAGACATTGTTTTTCTCCTAAAACTCCTCCTTATTTTTGTCCCAGGTTTCTCTTTGTTTACATTCCTGCAGTCTGGTATCACTGCTCCTTTATCTTTCCACTGCCTGCAAAGAGGCTTCTGGCTATGTCAGGGCCAGGCCTAACTGAGGCCAGTTAGTATGGTTTGTCCATAGTGTGTCTTTTTTCAGCTCAGCACCCCACACATGGACATCAGTGACATCACTGGGGACATCGGTGACTTCACAAGGACAAGAGTGACATCACAGAGACACCTGTGACATCATCGGTGACACTGGTGACATCACAGGGACAACCATGACATCACTGTGAGTACCAGGTTCACAAGGATACGTCTGGAATAAAGACAAGTACAACAGCCATTCAAACACTACAAAATATCTTTTATTGCAGTGAGAATTAAAAAAACTATTAGCAAAGAGAATCAAAAGCTAAAAAGAATACAAAGAAACCTCTACTTTATCTATTGGAGTTCATACAATACTATGAACAGCCTCTATTACAGTATTAGCTAGTAAAAGGGGATTTAAAGGGCTACAATATTAGCTAGTAAAAAGGGAATTAAAGGGATAAAAAAAGGATATAAAACTTTAGCTTTCCCTGTTGCTTCCTACCAATAAACTGTGCTCACCTGCACAGACAGGCCAGGCCTACCAGGCTCTGCAGGGCTGGTCGGTGCCCGTGCTTGGCGGGTGTCCCCGCGGAGCAGCACAGT